TTTTCTATGTTTCTGAACATACGTTTACATACAATAGTCTTTAGTTATTTTGGTGCACTTATAACAGGATATATTGATTTTCAAGAAATTTATCTGTTGTCTTAAATATTATGAAATTTTCCTACTTAGATCTTTTTGAACTTGTTCTACTTTTCTGTTTGCAGAATTTTCTATGCACTATGAACAATGGCACCTCAGAAAAAAAAAATTAGGGGGTCAATTAACTCAAGTTTGAAAAAATTATGAAATCGAAATACAAATACCTTATGATTTTTGAATAACATAGAAGTATTTTACATATCTAGTTATTTTCTTTCTTTTTGAAAATCCAGGGTGGGTCAATTTGCCCCTTCCTGCAGGCACCCATGACTATGAACTAAGAAAAGGGAACTTGAAAGGACATCTTAAAAAATGTGTACATCATACCGACATTCTGTGGGGCGAATTTAGCAATAGTAACATACACAAATGTATAGAACATTGTATACATATAGTATCTTTCAAGTCACACCCAAGTTCTCTCTCTTGTGATGGTCTTTTAATGCACCAAACATACACAAATAATCAGACTTAAATCTTGTAGTCACCTTCAGGATTCTTTCCTTTAACACAGTCACATCTACTTTCACATAAACATTCCATTTGTTATGGCACATGAAAATTTAGTGAAAATAAACATTTCTTTCCAGTTTGACAACAGTTCAGAAAATATACAGTTGATATATCCAATAATACAAGGATTTTTATTATTAAATAGTCCTATTTCACATTTTCACAGATATTTAAATAAAAAGCAATTAATTTTCAAGCCTAATATATGAAAAATAATTTAAATTCAAATAAAAAATTTGTGTTTGCTTGGAAAATATCTATCAAAGACTTAACTACATATAAGATTATATGTTTGGAACACAAATCACTTTTTATTACATTTCTTTTATTTTACTATAATAATTTATTACTTATCACTGTACTTCGGATATAGTATTGAGTTGATATCTATGGGTTATCAGCATACATGGGAGATTAGTGGAATTTGCTAATCAATTTATTGTTGGGCTCATTAATCTATTACATTCGACTAACTGACCATTCTCAAGAGACTTCAACTGTTGAAATAATCATAAACTCTTATTTTGATCAATTGATTATTCTCATGATCTGTGACAATAATTGATTAAACTAAACAACCTTAAATAAAAAATAACAAGAAATCATAAGGGCAATATTTCAATAACTTGAATAGTGGAATTAATCATAAATGGCAATAATGTATGTTCAAAGGTGATTGATTATCTCGCATGGTACTAATCAATGTAGTCGATATTCACAGGTAATTGATTATCTCACATGGTACTAATCAATGTAGTCTATGCTCACAGGTGATTGATTATCTTACATGGTACTAATTAATGTAGTCTATATTCACAGGTGATTGTTTATCTCACATGGTACTAATCAATGTAATCTATGCTCACAGGTGATTGATTATCTCACATGGTACTAATCAATGTAGTCTATGCTCACAGGTGATTGATTATCTTACATGGTACTAATCAATGTAGTCTATGCTCACAGGTGATTGATTATCTCACATGGTACTAATCAATGTAATCTATGCTCACAGGTGATTGATTATCTCACATGGTACTAATCAATGTAGTCTATGCTCACAGGTGATTGATTATCTTACATGGTACTAATTAATGTAGTCTATATTCACAGGTGATTGTTTATCTCACATGGTACTAATCAATGTAATCTATGCTCACAGGTGATTGATTAATAGAAATAATTAACCAGCTCCAGTCACTAGAATCTTAAAATTAATTTAAATCTGAATAGTTGAACTGGTTATATCATAGTAATTAAGCACTTGAAATGTCAAGATATCTGGGTTTTTATGTTTTTAGTTTTCTCAAACAAGAAAAAAAATCCATCTAAATAATTGCAATTATGCTATTCTTTTAATATTTTGTTTATTTTCATTAATAAAGAATTAAACTGGGGGGGGGGGGGAGATATCTAGTTAGTTTAGAGGATAGTACAGCCTATATGGATTAATAAGCCCCTTGTTGTCCCAAACATTATGTTATGTTATTACATATCTGAGTGTACCAGTCTAACTGATATAGTACACATATATATCAGGGACCACTACTTGAGAAATTTTAAACACCAGACTTTAATGTTTGATCTCTACCAAGACAGACAATGGGGTCATTTCTGCCCATGGTTTAATATCAAAGTTAATCTCAGTAACACAAGTACTATAACAGTGGTCTTAGCTGATGCATGAGTATATATATCGTATGTACTACTGGAAAAAGTGCAAAGAGGTACAGTTTGGGCAATTTACTTTCATAACCTTAACACAGCAAAGCGTAACTTGTGCTTCTATCGTGTGCAGTCTACACAGATACTATCATCATCATCACCATTTTAATGATTCACTAAAACATAATTTCTTGCTAAATAATTTATATCTATCCACATTTTTCATCAGCAAATAATAATTTAATAAGTTTTGTGTTTCAAAAGAGTACCTTAAATTCAGGTTATAATTAGGCTAGTTTTGATTGTTGGAAATTATTTTATTTCGATTATATTTGCCTCAAAATCGTTATGTAACGGTATTTTATACTATATTTGTTTAAAAGCATTATTTATAATAAATGACGCCACTTGCAAATAAAGGAAAGTTAAAACGGTGATGATGATAGTATCTGTGTAGACCGCATGCTATAGTGTAAATATCTTTGTAGATCGCACGCTATAATAGCACCGCATAATTAATACATTTCAGGTCCAAACTGGTTAGAATATCAGATGGACTTGACAATTTATTCCAATTCTGGAATAACAGACTATGCAACAAAGAAGAAATTATTAAGAATGTTTTAGTTGTTGTTGTTTGTCATTAAGAATAAAACTACAGAAAGGGCCATTGTGCTCTGCCCACCTCAGGTATCGAAACCTGGTGTCTAGCAGTATAAGTCCACAGATATACTGCTGTGCCACTTGGAGGCATTAAGAATGAAATTTTCAGTTTTGAAATACTAAAAGACAAAATATCTTTAGACCAAGTTATTAACATATAAAAGGAATTTTTTTAAATTGTTTAGTTATAAGTTGGTATAAACTAGATGCTTAAAACATTATGTTGACTGTATAAACTCAAACAAAAACATTTTGTACATATGTAGTAGGTATGGATATTTAGTGGTCTTTCAAATGAATATCATTATTTATTCATGACTTGCACATATACCAATACAAAAATTTCATTTTGTAAATTTATTATACATGATTTAGACTAATATTATATAATTATACATTAATTATATGCACCATACCCATTAATTTACTTCTATTTTCTAACAGTTAAAATAATTCATTCTTAAAATAAAAACAATTAAAAAATACGAATAAGAAGCAGACTTGTTTATATTTGGAATGTATTAACTTTTGTTTTTGGTAAGTTAAAAGATTACTAAATTACCCAAATTCCCTTTTTTCAATAACTCATAGAAATAAAATATTATTTAAGTATCAAAGTGATATAAATAAACAAAATACACAAATTAATAAATCTACCTTCATGAAATACCACTACTGTAGGAGATGATGATTTTAGGTTTTCAAATTGCTTAATTACTCATGTTGATCAAAAATTTTGTTTAATTTAATAAAACAAATAATTTTGATTATTCCTTCAACATTAACACCCTGACTAAAAGAACAAAATCAAATTTATGTATCTATTAAAAAAATAAACTCTAGGAATATATTATGGGTCAGTATGTAATATCTATTTCAACAGTGAAGAAAGATATGCTATTAAAAGAATATATATATATATATATCATTTCATAACGAATGGAGCATTTACAAGCTGACTAGTGCCATCTTGTCCCAAAGGCCAAAAACAATGTAAAACCTAGAAAATGTATAAAGAAAATACTGAATATGTATTGTGTGTATATATATATATATATATATATATTCAGATACATTTTATTTATTATATGTTATACCAAATGAAAGAATTGAAGCAACTGATGTGAATGCCATAGTCTTTTTCACACATGCTGAAATTCTATTTTTTGTTTTGGCTGATAACAACAGAAATAAGAAAAACTCAAGTGAACAATCTGAAAAGAGGTTACAACAAGTTTTCTATACGTATTTCTAGCACACACTCATAAGTTTTCTAAAAGTTCATTTTGCAATCTGAAATAACATGTTAAGACATAAGTTATGATATATACAGTAAAAGCACATACCAAGGACCTAAGAAAAACACAAGCCTCTCGTGCATAAAGAATATAGTCTTAACACTTGGTAATTATAGAAGTATAGTTCCATACATATTTATCTACATTACATTGAAATATTCTAATCCTACACAACAGATTAAATCTACTTTTGAAATGCTGTTCATTAACATATTCGTTAAAATCCACTTATTAAAGTCCCAAGAATAAAATACTGCTAATATTGAGTGAGTAATAACAGTACTAGTACTAGTATTATTACTAATACTAACAGTAACACTAATAATTTTTCCTACAGCACACAAAATTCACACACGTCTGTCCTATAAATTTCTATCTTGTTAGCGTTTGTTAAACTAATTCAAAGCATTTCTAATACGATAACGCAGAAAAGTTACCATTACTAAGTATTTCATACAGACCTTGTCGAAAAATAAACTCAAGTTTACGGTTTGATATTCACATTTGAAATAAGTTGTATGTTCTATATCGACAATCCTGGCAAAATCGTATTAGTTACGATCTAAAGATTTATTCTAGTTTTCATTATTCACATAACTTACAGGTTTATTAATGTCGTTTGACTTCGTATACTCGAAACATCTAGAAGTAATAGTTTATCAACACAGACTGACACTGACAGTCAAATTCTAACAGTATCACACATTTAATTTTTATTACATTTGATAATAAGGAAAACTGATATAAACGCAGGTAGCTTACCTCTCGGATGCCATGGTATCCACCTCCTGCTTAGAGAGCTTAAAATGTTGTAAAATTCTACATAATTGTTATATTTTCTCATCCAAATTTGTACAAGTACCAATCCTAAACCGCCATTTTTTCATCAATCAAAACGCATATAAGCACCAACGCCATCTGTTAGTCTTTTAAAACGTAAATGTTATAAAAAGCAGTGTGTCTTTGGCATCCGCACTTAGTAACTGTAGTATGTGAAGGAGAACGTTTCAATGACACTATGTACATGCAAGTAAAAAGTGCAAATTGAGGGTAGGCTTATATATTTTAGAAATAATGTTTTTATATTTTAAGAAAAGTTTAAAACATTCCAAATTCTGACTAAAGAAAAAGGCTGATCAAATAATAAAGATGAAGATGGCCACTAAGAAGAAAAAAAATTACTTACAAAACCATTCGACATTTCCAAATACAATATTCCATATTCAGCGAAAATAATGTTATAACTATACTCAGTATCATTAAGCAATGATATAACAACGTATTATTAACCAAGGTATTTGAACACATTCGATTAAAACAGCAAAAAAAAGTGAGTGTACATATCATAGATTATGTAATGGAAGTAACAAAACTGTATGCTACATAAGTTATCAAGTTATAAATATAACCTATTACTTGAACAATAGACTGGGTATTAAGTAAAATGATCTTTTGCTATAAGCAACTTTTCTTTAATAAGAAATTCAACGTCTGGAGATCCTGTAGTTAAGATGGGGAAATTGTTATAAGAAATGATGTAACCTGTGGTTTCTGTATATAAACGGATATCCGAGTGGTTGGTTTTCCAGTGGCATGTTGTTTTGACACCGTGACTTTAAGGGTTACTACACGTGCACTTATAACTTATATATTTATATATGACATCACCACGTGTAGTTAGAAATATCCCCACCCGCATTTAAAGTTGTTCTGTACGAACTCTATATTGATGACACATTCTTGCTATTTCGAACACAATGTGTCCAACCACGGTTCAAAGTATCTTACTTACTTAAACTCCAAACACCTTAAATATTAATGATATTACATATATATTTTATTCTCACCAAAGATAAAGCTGAAAATATAATCTGTGACGCAGAAGCCAAATATATTTTACAATTCACCGTATCCTCTGTTGGGGACTATTAAACATTACATAAACACCACTATTTATTTAATGTATTTCTTTGCTTACTGACCATGTAACAGACAGTTTTGAATTATTACTTCAGGAGGGAGAAAGATGTCGAAGGCGCACATGACTCTTCCAGGTCCACAAAGACCTAAAACCCTGTGCCGATCGACCGCTTACTGAACTTAGGTGTGTTGATGACCCGTTACATACTTCTCTCCCCCACCCCAACGGCCTGTCTTTTATTTTATGGTATCACAGACTTTACTGATTAAAAACAGCTCTCTACCCCCAAGTTCATATCAGGCTAATATCTAGACTTACTATACGCATCAAAAGATCGCTACATTATAATACCGACACTCCCACGTTCACGGCTCATATAAAGTAGTAGTAGTGACTTTAAGGTCACGTGTGTCAAAACAACACACCACTTGAAAACTAGAGCCTCTTAACGTTTACGAGTTTCAGTACCCAGTAGGTTTGTTTGTAGTTATGCACAAAGCTACACAATGGGCTATCTGTGCTCTGCCCACCACGGGCGCAACCCGGTTTCTAGCGTTTTAAGTTCACAGACATACCGCTGAGCCACTGGGGGGAGTATCCAGTAGGAACAAACGTCTGTCACTCAAATCCAGTAATACTACTATTCATGCTCATGCAGTAATTACAGGTCGCAACTATTCATATTAGAATTTCACCATTGTAACCACAGAACCTTCAACTTCTCATTAAGTAAAGCTGCTTATAACAAAAAGACCAGCCGGTTGTTACTGACTTACAAACATCATTTGACCCCAACTTTTTCTAAATAATTTAACACCCAGCTTATTATTCAAGTATAAGTTATACTTTTATAACTTGGTGCTTAGAGTAATATGTAATTTTATTTCTGTTAAATAACCTATCCAATTTCCTCCTTTTGCTTTAATTTTAATCGAATGTTTCCAGTACCTTAGTTAGTGATATTATTATAACATTATTTTCAGCTTTCACTGAAAATGGAATAAGTAGTGTATTCTGAAACGTCCCAACTTGATGTAAAAAAAATATAAAAAAATCGCCTGATCACTTTTGTATATTTTTATTAGTCGCAGCTCATAGAATGGCTCAGAGTTTTTCGAGTGTACAAACTTTTAGCTCACAGCTCCTTCATCTTTTGACCGATTTGACATGTAATTACAGTTTTGGACTCGGGAGGTCAAACCCTTTCGATTGATGTATTTCACCATGCCATAGGTCTCATAGATTAATTTACTCTAATCCTGCCTAAAGGAATTGCAAGTGCTGCGGCTATTAAGGATTCCCTCTTGTTTTATATATACATGTAAATACTAATTACCAACTAGTTTTATCCTAAGTTTCCATTGTTGCCTCAAAGGAAGTCCCGAGAAGGACTAGTTCTGTGTTAGTAGTAGACACAATTGGATATTAGTTTTGTGATAATAGTTGGTGCATCCAGCACTCACCTGGGGTCCTTACTATATTCTGGTCTTACAAGTTTACATTAAAATTTTGTATCACTGAAAGCTATTAGTAACATATAAAACAATCAGGACAATTATTCTGTGTACACATTATATGAATATATCATAAAAATTGAAAATACTTTCAATGTATGTACATACACACACACACACACACACACATACATATATATATATATATACATACAACCTAAACACTTACGTTTATGTCATTTTTAGTTAGGTAGTAAATAAGAGTTCAGATATTTTATCGACTGCTTCCTTAATTCTTTCTGGTAAGTTTTGCATCAAGTTATGTCTAATGTCTTTGCATAGATTGTAGAAAAAATTCTGATCTGTTGGTCTACATTCATGTATTGCAAAGGCTTAAAAACAATGTATAAAAACATTTAGGATGTGTGTCTATATATATGTGTATTTATAAAAGTAGAATGGATACACCCTATTCATTTTTTTGGAGTGAAGGGGTTATGATTGGGACAGTACTAAAAAAAAAACCTCAGTGTTGTAAGTCATTTTCATTTATCATTCCTTGCATCTCTTGGAAATACAGTAGCATATTTTTTTTTTTTTTATATTGAGTCACACATTGATAAAATTCACATTTAAGTGTTAGCTGAATAATAATATAAAAAAAGATCAGAATTATGATACCCATGGAAAGTCAAATACAAGCTTTTGCAGTTCATCTAATGGTGTTAAGTACAAGTGTTATAGTCACTCACTAATGTCATTATTTAGAGAACATACAACTCTATTTGTGACTACAACTCAATTATCCTGAAGAGCAAACGTTATTACTAATATTTATCTTGGATTACCCTGTACAGTTCTGTCTGGAACAGATTTAGAGTTTTAGTTTCAATGCAGTTTTTGTTTGAGAGCTCTCCAGTGAAGACATTACAAAACTTGTTTACTGAATAAGGATTGTTTAACTGTGTTTTCACACTGTGTCCAGTCTCTTTCCTTGCTAGAAACTCAGTCAAGGTCAGTGAATTTAGATTCACACTGTAATAAACTTTCTGTCTCAACATCTTGTCCTTCTTACCAAATTACTCTTAAGTGAAATCAGTAGAAATGAAATTACAACAGGAATACTTCCTTTATTCCAAAGTTAAAAAAATTAAATAAATAATATAGACTGTCTTGAGTGAGCAGATTTAACATTTTAAGAATCAACTGTATGTAACAGTTTCTCCTGTTATTCATAGAGAAAACACTTACCACCAAATCAGAAAACTAAAAATTATGAATTCAGGAAAAGCAGATATTGAACTCTTGATAAATGAAACTCTTATTAATTAAAAACTTCAACCAACACTTAGTAACTGTACAAGTTCTTTTGAATTAGAACCATTTTAATTATTTACCTTCTGTCTGTTAATACTTACTTGTAATTTTTTCATATTTGTAGTAACCTGCTGAATACATAATACATACAATCTGCAACATTCAATAAAATATTTTTTTTCTTTCAATTTTGTGAAAATCTGGATTCCAATTTGAAAATGTCTGGACCAATAATTTCTGACTGAATGTAAAAAATTTCAATGCAGTTTCCCCCACCTCAAACTATCTTCTAGACAACTAAAATCCAGCACTGCCTATTTTTCATGTCAGAAACAGGAATGTCTTCTTCATGGGAAACTTAAATCTACGAGGTGACACATACACACACTTCCTCACCCAAAAATTAAATCATCAAATTCTGTGAGAACCTGTATTGCACCTGTATCTCCTACACCTTTCACTCCTAAAGAAGAAAACCAATGAGATTGTTGGTTGAATTTTGCTCAAAGCTACTCAAGAATTATCTACACTACCCTTCCCCAATTTTAAAGTGATAGATCAGAGAAAAGGCAGCTAGTCAACAGTGGGATTGACCATCACATTATAATGCCCTCACAGCTGAAAGAGGGAGAAAGCATGTTCAGTGAAGGGTTCAATGAGAACAAAATAACCCAAAGTCAACACAAAGTTCAAATTGTTTAATTACCTCCCACGAAACTGGACCAAACGAGTTAGCACTAGCTGGTTATCTTAGGACATGAAAAGTTGTTTCCCTTACATGTAATTGTTAAAAACACAGCAACGCTCATAAAAACTGCAAAACACAAAATGTGAAACCGCAAGTTTGCATGTATCTCCACATGGACACAACAAACCTTCATGCCAAATTTGGTGAAGATCTATCAACAGAGGGCAAAGTAGTAGTAAAAAAATGCAAAAACGCCCATCAAAACCACAAAACTGAAAATCTGTATATATCTCCCCATGTACCCAATGAACCTTTATACCAAATTTGATGAAATCCAGCTACAGGGGGTGAAGTAGTGGAAAAAAAAGCAAAAACGCCTATAAAAATTGCAAACTTGTTTGTACCCCCACATCAACCTCCATACCAATTCTGGTGAAGATCATACAACATACAGAACTATTATATTTATATTTTTTTATAAAACTACTCCGTGTTCCCATCAACTATCCCTAACTCCCCGTTTACACAAGCTCAATACTTTACACTCATAAACCTTTACAAAGCATCAATGCCATAAAGATAGAACTTTTGATCTTTGTTCCTTCAGAAAAAGAGGGATAATAATTTCTTTACCTTTGTTATGTAAGATTACTCTCCACCCAAACAATATTTTTCCTTAATTTTATAATATAAAGCACTAATAAAGCATAATTTATTATCATGCTTACCTTTGAGAAACACAAGTTTCTTTATTTTGGGCATAATTGTTATCTACATAACACGTAGTTTTAAATTATAAACACTAATATTAAATATACTTTACATTTCAGAATCACTATTCATTTCAAAACAAAAATAATATCAATGTAAATAACCAAAGTCCACTAACAGTTCAATAAAAATGCCCGCTACGAGATGTTAGACTCATGGTGAATGAAAATAAAAGGAACAACACATCTACTCAAGATGATGTGTGGGGTTCAATTGTACAGATATCCTACTTACAAATTCATGAAGAAAAACAATTTTGTGTGCATGTGACATCATTATACCAAGGTGAATAAAGCTGAATACTTTGTTTAGTCAAATTGAAAGAAAAGCTCCTTCCAAGTCTTCATTATTTGATCACTCACAACTCCTGAAAATCACTAGTAAGTGTAAAGTGTTGTATGTATCTTAGTCCTTTATCTGATGTATTAAATGTCAGTTATGAGACATAACTTACTCATAAGCAAGATAAAAAAAATTATGACTGGGTCAATCAGAATTACTAGTCAAAAATGTGACAAGAAAAAATGAATTTGAACAACAATAAAGGTGTAATGAATATTTAAAAAAGAAAATATATAATAAAAAAGTGCAATATAAAAAGTAACTGTTTGGTTGAAATCCCTGAAAATGTTTTTCAGAGGAGCATGCATTAATGAAGTGATTAAAAAAGCATATAAATGTACGAGTAACAGATGTTACTCACATTTTTGAGAAAATGTATGCAAAATGGTAAAACTAAGTTTGGTTAATGTCCAAAGAAAAAGACAGAAACCCTTAGTTTTATCAAATAACAGCAAAAGATCTAGAGATTAAGAGTGACTAATAAGCCATTTTCACTTCTTACTTGAACCTGGTATAGTGGCATTTAAATTCACCAGTAAATAAGAAATAGGACATCTCTCTTTCAAACAGGACACATTTTGTTGACATTTGAAAATCAAAACAGAAGAAGATAAAGCTATTTCCTATTGTAAAATAGCTCAAGTGATTGTCAAAAAACAACAAAGACACGCAGTGTATGATACAAAATTTTATTCTTTTATATCAAATATATATTTGCCACAATTTCAGCTAAGATGCAATATTAAACATTACTCTACGATTACTTGATTCATTAAAAAGGAACAAAAACACCCATGAATCATAACACACAGTGAAAACCTTAATAAGATCATTGATTAAATTTCAAATAAACCTTCAATGATAGCTCATCAACTGATTGTCTACTTCTCAAGATCAAACTTGATCAATTCATCACTTGCCTTATCATCAGAAATAAAATTATAAAAGATTAATATCAAAAATGCACATTAATTATGTCACCATCCAAACACATACTCCATAGCTTTTGATATAATATTGTTTGTCTTCTGTGGTGTTTGATTGTGGGATGTCACCTAAAAGTAAGATAACACGTGATATCTAAAAGTATTTCAATGAAGACAGACATTGTTGAAAATTAAAACTAGATGAAAAGATTAAAATTTTTCTGTGCTGCTGATCAAACAGATATCACGTATTGAAATAAAATTATAGATATTGGCATTCAGAAACTTAATTCTTCAGTACTAGCATTTAAAAGTATTCTCAGTTAAACTATTACTTAGAAACAGCAAATACTGAATATTTTCTAAGACTTTTACTTCTATGCTTCATGAATATAACTTTCTTGTTGTATTTCTTAATTATTAATTCAATTTTCAATTTAAACAAAATGCACATTGTATTGGTTAGGACCTTTTAAAGAATCTACCTCATTTTATAAGGCAAGGTGACCTACCAAGTTTCAGCAGTTACTGTGATTAATAAAATTTTAAACAAAATCACTTCACCCAGACATGATGTACCATATACAGTTGATTTAACAATGCAAATGGATTACTTCATTACCTACCTGTTAACACTTCAACATTCTAAACCAAGGAACATCGTTATTGTTGTGGAAGAAATAAATGTCAAGACCAAGTTACTCAAGCTCTATTTTTAAACTATATTTTATAAAACCGTAAACAATATTCCAAATGGTTCAACATAATTTCTTACTCAGTTTTGGATACATAGATAAATATTTTAAGTTTACAGCCAATAAAGAAATGTTTTCAATTAAAGTTATATGTAGTATAATAATTTTGAATTTTTTATAAATTACTTTAAAGTTTAAACAATTTCTTGCTACAGTGACTTAACCTAGTGCTGAGAGCATTTTGGAAAAAAACAACAAACTTTCTTCTCTTGATCCATCATCATCAACCAACTCATTTAATAGTGCCCTACTAAACTGATTTTCTTTGAAAGTCTCACCCAAGGAATTATATGTCCCAGCCACAGAAAATGGGTTAAAAATTGTTAATTATAAAAGGGAATAGAGATCATCAAAAAAGTACAGAAAGAAGTTAAAGCATACAACTAGGGACTCAAAAAAAAGTAAACAAACAATGCTGGAAATAGTGTCTATTATTTTCTTAAGCTACAAATCCCTATTATGACTTCATGTATACAGTACTTATTAATTTTAGTGGAATCACAATAGGGATTCGTAGCTTGAGTAAATAATATACACTATTTCCAGCATCGTTTGTTTACTTTTTTTATAGAGGAAAACACCAAACTTTTTGGTGGCAGGAAGTGAAGGACTTGAAAAATTCCTGTGTGATTCCACACTACCGAAGATATTACTTAAAATAATCTTATAGTAGATCTCCAGTCTTGTTTACTTACTTTTTTTGTGATCCCTATTTGTAAATTTTAAATTCTCAATTTTTAATTATCTTGTATGTTTGCTTTATGTAAGGCACAGCAATGGGCAACTATATGCCTTGAGTAAGACACAACCCCCACTAAACACACACAAAATTTTACCAGTAGAATAGCAGCCTTTTCAAATAAAACAAATATGTCTAAAGCATCACTTTAAATAAAGCTTTGTATCTTTTAAAGTGCTTATTTACTAGGCCAGGTGGCTTTGTGCCTGCTGTTTCACGTAAATGTGTGTAACACACATCGAGTACAAAAGCATCCGCTTAGAATATCGCATCTGTTATATATTTATAACCACATAAATAAACTTTCAGTAAAAATAATCAACTTTTAAGTAGGTTATAGACATTTGCATTGTTCCATATTTCTGTCCAGGTTTTGGTGCAAAATACTCTGCCAATTTTGCTGTAGGTTAGTGAAACAATAATATGAACAAATTGTTAAATCACATATTTTGCGTATTATTAATGTTTGGGTGGTCTAAACTATTGAAAAGGAAGGTTTTGAGTGTTGTTTCAAGAAAAAGTCTGCTTTTTAAGGTGATTTGTGCCCGAATGTTCTATTAGAGTTTGAGCAAATTCCTGTACAATCCCTATTATTAAGCACTATTTGTGGTTCATGGTACATTTTTCTTGTCTTTACAAACACAGTCAAACTGATCAGGAAGTTATTTTAACAAAATGTGACTGTTTTTGTTAACAATACCATAGTGTTGTCTTGGCAGATGAGGGCTCTCCTATATCATACAAGTCTGAGTTTGTAATTGCCACAAAATTAAACTAAAATTACCATTTTCTTGCCTCTATATTTAATGGTTTTATATATTTGAAAACATACGGATAATATGGCCTAGCACAAACAATGAGTGATAAAGGGTATTTATTAAAAGAGAGTTTCTAGTAAAGGTAACAAAATAGAATCATACTGGACAGTGTTAAGAACCAAAAAAAAATAAAATAGAATAACTGCAATATTGATGGTAGTTTTGTTTAAATTTTTGTGTGTGGCTATTGGGTGATTAGGGACCTGAAACAAATAGTGACAGATCCACCAGCAAGTTGATGAATAAATAATTCCGAAAAATGTGTTTAAAGAAAGTGGATGGAATCCATGGGCCCCACTTGTAATTCTAAGGTTAAAGGAGACCAGAGGTAAAGTAGCATCTGCTGAAAAATTTCTGTACTGGTTTGAAGAAGACAATAACTAGCTTTGATGGACCCGAGCTGGTTAACATTGTATCAAGACTGATAAATTCAGTCACACTGTGTCCCATCAGCCCAGCTCTTATTAAACAATCACTAGCAGCAAATTTATCTGCTATCAAAAATGTAAAGTAATTACTGTTAAATTTAAAACATATAATAAAACTGGTACTGACTGAACAATGTAGTGACTAATGTGAAACCAGATTGATCACCTAGCATCTTCCTGATCTACTAGATATCAGCACTCTGAAGTTAGTGGCACAACAGGTCACATACTCTGGGTGGTTTATAGTGATGAAATTTTCAACCAGAATGGCACTTTATACACTCATGGGTTAAAAAGTTAGATGAGAGACCCCTAGGATTCAAGTATAGCTGTCTAAAAGTTTGAACTCCTGATCAGAGGAAAAGCAGCCACTGCCACGAAGGGCTTGTCCAGCTCTTTGATTGTATGTTTTAGAAAATTTTGTGCAAAGCTACACAACAGCTAACAGCACATATCATCCCCTAATTCTGAACTAAGAGGCCAGAGAGAAAGCAGCTTGTCAACAGCACCTACTTTTAACTCTTAGGCTACTTTTATCTAACCAAATAGCTGGATTTCACTGTGACTCTTACAGTACATATTAAAATTCCCCACTCTTTAAACACTTGGCCATGTTCAGGACTGACTGGTGAAATAAAAATATGAATAGACCAGTGTCTATTTTAGATCTCAATATAAAATAGCCAGTATATTGTATGGAAGGAAAATCCAAATAAAGAAAAATGCTTTAAGTACACGTTTTTTTATGCCCATGTATATTATGACAGATCTAGATACATAGTTTTAATTTCCATCTTTAAGGTAAATATCTTGTATATCAGTTGTCATTAAAGCTTTTTTTGCAGCACAATGCTGAGTTAGAGGTACTTTTTTCAACCTGAACCACAACTTAATATCTAACATACTACATTTCTAAAAAACTTAAAGCCTATGCTTGGTATATTTCAGTATAAAATTTATATGTAGTTTATTTTTGAATGCTTACTTAGATTTGTGCCCAAGGCACACAGGGGAGTAGCCCATTCTACTTTTGAACAGAGTACACATGGTTTGTAGCAGGTTGTATGTTTTTACTAACTGAAATAAACCAGCTCACAATGGGCTTCATTTAATGGATTCTTGTATTTAACAGTTAATTTTTTACATTATTTTCAGTTGCAACAAAAATGCATTAAAGTTCAAAAAATGGAGTCAGAGAGTTATTTCTTTAAACTAACTTGTACTTTGTGTTACCCAAACACATACACACACATTTTTTTTTTATAAATTGAAACATTTTTCAAAACTTATGAAATTAAATACTTAGATTAAAATCTTAATTTATAAAAAGGAGAACTTTAAGTTTTACAACTAAAAGTATTTCAATTCAGTTTGTTACAATTAATTAAAAAAATCTTCGAAAGTTAAAATTAATTTTAGACCTGTTTAATTTTTATTGGTTAAGTCTGGTTAGATCTGTTAGTAGCATGCCTGGTATTGTCCATCCCTATAGTCTTAAGCAAATATTTGACTAAAAATTTTTTAGAATTTTTATCATTAGTTTGTCACAAATGGGACTTCATAACCTATATAAACAAGGCACAGAGTATAAAACACACCTCATGCTCACTAACAGCTGTTCTATATGCTCGAGTTAGAGGCCTGATGTTTGCTACTCGATTACTTCTGTTCAGATCCTCATCCGTTTGGTAGGAAGGCGTGCTTACTTCAAACATGGAGTTTTCTTTTGAAGATTCATCTGTCAGCTTCTAAAGGTAAAATTAACAGTACTGACACAATACTGAGAAACTTTAAGTATCACACAATACAGTCAATAAACTAAATTTGTTATTACCAAATGACATACAATGACCAAAAATAATACAAGACTTGGGAATACTTACAACTTCCATTTTAACATTATCTCTGCTTTTTTAGAAAAAAAAATCAGCAAGAGGTCCTTAAGACAATTATTTTGATTGTTGGCATTACCTGTGAGCTTACATCATATCCTCAAACTGCATGATCACCAAATGTTAGCAATAAGCTTAATTTTTTTTAAGAATATAGAAGTGGAATGATATGTTTAAAAGACAAACTAACAGCTTATTTTTATTGGAACAGCCAGCTACTGGCAAATCAAGCCAACCTAACCTAGAGGCATTGTAGACAGATATGGCTGCAACATCAGAATGTAGTCTCACATTCAAGAAATCTTATAACAGAAACTCAACACTAATGTTAACCAAACTGTGTTGTCACTAACTTAGGGATAAAACATTCTATTCATTTGCTACTGCTGTCCTACACCTTGTTTCAATCCCCTGCCCCCAGTTAATTAAAAAAACAACAACCTTATTTCAGTATAACCTACACTTTTTTTTTAATTATTTAACACAGAAAAGCATTCTTTTTGTAAATTGATCAACAGAACCTTTCCTAGCACAGACAATGTAAAAAATGATCTACTTACTTTTCCTCTACAGGATTTAACACCAACCATGATACTTCCTCCAAACACTTTTCCATTCTTACTGAGAGCTTTCTTAGCTTGAAGCTTTGACTGATAATGGATATGCATCCAGTTGCCACAAGGTGAGATCTAGAATATTAAATTATTCTTATTGAAGCTTTCCATTATAAAAACATGCATTTATTACACGCTTACAGCAATGTAAATGCTATTTTACAAGGAATAAATATATATCAATGGACTTTTCTGATTTGAGCATCACAAAATAGTACTGGTAAACCAAAAATTCACTTTGTACACTGAAGAGACAATGGAAAAAAAACTATATCTTGCTATTCTTGTAAATTCTGTTTTCATGAAGAGTGTTCATGCGTGGGCATGGCATGAAACAAAGTTGAAGAGAAAAAAATGATAAAGTAATTATTACTAAGCACCTCGATTATACTTTTAAAACAACCTTTCATGGTTTTATAAAGTAACTTGAAATTTTACATCTGTTTAAAGTGTAGAGCATGAACGGTAAAGTTGTAAAAATTCCAAACATACCTTATGTTCAACAACTGTTCCATAAAGTGAAAACTGCTGTAGAATATAAGACATTGAAGCAATGGGATACCTAATCAAGAATATTAATATACAGTTAATTTTATTATTTTCCTAAAAAGTTTCTTTTTACTTACAACAAAAAATCAAAATATTACAAAGTATTATTATACTGTCTTCAAACATATAATTTTTTTTTATTGATTATGCACTTTTATATACACACATACATACATATAAATGTAACAGTTTCCCAATTTGAAACTCAAAACTTACCCAAAAACTGTTACCCATGTCTCAAGTTCATCATCAGAAGTCAAGGAGTTACTGCAATCATAATACACCATGTTTTACAAAATTTAAAATTCATTACACATGTAAGTGTACAAATAGAAAAGAGAGAAAGACATTAAGTTTATTATGTTGGTATAGATTATTCAAGACAAGAATCAGTGATCATTATTATTATTGTGTAAAAACAATGCATCAGGTTAATTAGACAAACACAGTCGACAGGTATACCAAAACCACAGTAAACAGTTCTGTAAAACTACAACAAATGAATTTTTACTACTCACAAAAATTAAGTTTATGACAATAAAATAAAAGGATAGAGAGTAGCTGCTATAAGTTTCCCAATAATACAAATGATAAAAAAACAGTAGTTCAACAATAGGATTTTAGATTAGTAGTATTTCCATAATCTAGAATTTCAAATAATTAAATGTATCACTTCTAAATAGTGTGCATTAGAAATCTCAATATTTTTTAATGGTTGATTCAACTCACAAGACATTTGAATTTATTAAACCATCTTTTAAAGAATCTTTAGTAAAATAACTTGGCATTAAAAATGTCAAACTTAGGAGACGAAAGCATCTTTTGCTTCAAACTGATACTGCAACTTTCTACAAATTAAACTATGTCAAAAAACAAAAACAGGAAAAGATGAAATGCCTCTCAAAATTGAAAAGTACAACAAAAACTAAGCAAGTGTTTGACAAATGATTAATTATTTACTAGTTCAATTAGTACAAAAAACTATCAATTTTTCTGTAAGTTACTTACATTATTACTATATTAAACTTAAAGGACCCCATTTTCAAAATTCTATTTCAGTTGTTGAAGATACTTGGAGACAACTAAAGAATAAATATTTTGCAAAATACAAGGCATGAACTTGTTCTGACTATTACCAAGATTTTTAACTACAGTAGCAAAAATATATTTCAGGGCAAATCATTTTATGTTAAAATTGAAATTAGAATCAGTTAAGTTAATAAAAAAAACAAAAAAAACATATGATTATAACTTTCCATAAACCTTACATAAAAGAAAATAAAACATTTACCCTTGGTTGTAAAATGGATCAACCTGTGCTGGTGATGATACAGGCTTACTGGACTCATTCATATTTCTACTTGGTGTTAATACTCCTGCACTGTGGAACTGGCCTTCAACTAAAATTCAACTTTGATATTAATTTTGAAAATTTTTCCCTGGTAAAATATCAAAATGTACAATAAAGGTAACAAGAGTTTGATTTTGCTATAAACTGAGCACATACTTTAATGTACATACATTACATTAACGTACCAGAATACCAAATAATAATACTATGTACATGTCAAAAAGATAAAAGACACACTAGGCTAACAATGTCACCTTGTGTAAGAAATGACCTACACAGTACCTTAATTCATTAATGATGTTGCAATAGCTGAAAATACCGTCATCCAGCAAGCACCACACCGAAATGTTCTTACTATGAACCAAATAACAATATTTTTAGCAGCAGTATTTTTGTTAGTTTCAAGAAAGTAAAACCTGATAAAATTATATTACATCAATTGCTATCAGTCATCTTCAATGGTGACTTACTATCAAAGCTTGTTTCATGAAATTTCCAAACTATGCATTTCTAATACTTTTTTACACTAAAATCAGCCTGGTTACTTTATATCTTATGTGAATAGTCACAATGTACTTTGAAAATGTTTTATAAACCACAGAATACCTTTCCTAGCTAACACACCAGACAATAGCCAGTAGCCTAGTATCCATATAACAAAATGTTTAATACTAGAATATAGTATTATTTACATAAATATCTTTTTGATTAATTCAACTAAAGACAAGTCAATGAATTGCAAAACTTAAATGCAACATTTAACACTCAATAAAATATTCAGAATTTTTATGCTTTTGAACCAGGAGTATAGATTTTAGAGAAAGAAAATAATAATAAAAATATTCTCCTACATAAACAATGTCACAAGAAGTGTCTGAAGTTACTTAACTTTTCTAACACCACGGACAAATTATTTAACACATGTTGAACAAGGAGTACAATAATAATAATTGAATTTATTTGACATAACCTTTCTGCCAGAATATTCTTACTATTAAAAGTTATGTCTATTTAACAAATAAGTAAATGAGTCTGGTTAAGCATATGATTTGCACAAACACATAAAAAAAAGTTTCTATATCGACTACGAAAAGAAAAAACAATTCAGGAATTCAAAAAATTGTTTACAGTGACTTGCACCAAAAACATAGATAACTAATGTAACAAAACAATTGAAGATAGATAAAGTTTAAGTGAATATAACAGTAAAACCAGTTAAAAAACAATTTATTTCATTTTTTAGACTAATAACACAGGCCTGCGATGGTTTTATTGTCTTGTTCTACAGTAATTCTTGTACATTGAATCCAAAAAAGATATCTATTTTTCTCCATCACGTATAGATTTTTCACAAAACATCACATGTACTTTTACATAAGTGAATCATTTTCATTGAAATTGGGTCACATTTTGTTATGCTTAAAATGTTGACAACTACTGACTATAGATTTCTCTATACCAATCTTGATATGAAAGTCTTATCAATTATTCTAGAACCCATGAGAAACACACTGCTAGTATATAAATGGTTAACAGGCCGCATTTCTGGATAGTATTTGTTTGTGTGTGTAAATGACCCAAACATGTTCTATTTGTGGCAAATTTGTTGTAAAAAAACAAAGGCAAGACATTACAGAATTCGTCAAAAAAGCATGTTACGTGTATTTTGGAATAAAACTTGGGGACCAAGACAAATCATACGCTCCACATAAAGTTTTGCACCATTTGTGTCGAAGAATTGAGACAATGGACTAAAGGTAAGAAAAAGTCTTTGCCTTTTGGAATTCCAGTGGTCTGGCATGAGCCTAGAAACCACACAGATAACTGCTAATTTTGCTCATGCAACGTGTCAGGAAATAAAACAGAAATTTCTTATCCGAACCTTCAATCTGCTATAAGACCTGTTACTCGGGGACCTGATGTACCTGTACCTACTCTGCCAGAGACTCTTGATAGTTTTTTTTGTGTGAATGGGACAGCAGAGCATGAAATCAGCACTGGATAAAGAAGCAATGGCCACGCAGAGCCATCCTGATACCAGGATCGAAAAACATTGAACGTTAAAGTTTTGTAAAACTGGGCTTGATGATGCAGTTTGTAAAGGCCTTAGACAAAGATGGTGCCTATTTTAAGCATCTATGTTTGCAATTCCAATCTCTTTCAGATGCAAAACTTAAAGAAGGGAGTTTTGTTGGGCCTCAGATTAGGAAATTGACTTTGGATGAACAGTTCAAAATAACAATGAAGAAAGTTGAAAAAGAAGAGTGGATTGCCTTTAAAGATGTTATTGAAAATTTTTTAGAAAACAACAAAGACCCAAATTTCGAAAATATTGTCAATAATATGCTCAATAAATTCAAAAAGTTGGGTTGTAATATGAGCTTGAAAGTTAATTTCTTACGGTATGACGCTAGCCCGGTATACCGGCATACGATGCGATAGGGTTAAGAGCCTAACCCGCGAATATGGGGAACCGCGAACAGGTGAGGGTATACCGTATACATGATTGACTTTAGTTTCGTGTGTATTGAAATTTTTCAAGTTAAAATTCCAGTTAAGTATACATATTGTCATACATAATTTTGATTTAATATAACATTTATGATTTATAGGATCATATTTTGATATGTTTTGAGTAAGCAAAGCACTACTGTATAGTTATTTTACCTACAGATGTATATTCTGACAGGTTCCACATACCACATTATTAAATTCTCCTCTCCCTGATGGTAAGTGTACCATTTCAGATATCTTAGTCTTTTTTTAAAGTCATTGTTAGTAGTTGTATGTAGTTATGTTTTATATAGGCATCTAAAGTTAAGCCTTTGGTAACATGGAATTTAAATTCCAATCAGTAGTTTGTTTTTAATTAAATGGTGTATACGAGATCGTAATGAAATAGCTTAAGGTATAGCCACAGCTACTGAAAATGAATAAACTATCCCAAGAATGTAAAAACCTACAATTTGGTATAGGTAAGGGTAGAGTCCCAATTTTTCACAAAAAAAGTATTCTTAAAACATTACTTTTTATTATTTGAATTCCATGTTGGTGCTTGTTAAGCATATTTCTATAAAACTGAAATAGATTTGTATTGAAATGTTAACAGCTTTGCAAATTTAAACTTCCTAACAGTTGTTTTGGTTTTAATAATGGATTTTCCATATTCAGCTACACAGATTTCGAAAATAATATTTTTTTTTTTTTATCATATAAGGATTTTTTACAAATCGGGAAGAAAAACTTACTGAAATTAAATTATCATTTCTTTACCACAATTAACATTTTGTATTATTATATTTGTTAAAAAAAAATACAAACAAACTGAAGAAAAAGAAAGAACATTGATATCAAATGAATACGCATCCTCATTCATCTTGATTTTTTGTGAAATCTACGTTTTTTAGTATCAAAACTACATGTTGTGGTATTTCTTTTATGTATTGCATCTTGAGCATCTTGTTTCAATGACCAGCAGTAATCAGCCATCATGCTGATGTTCCACCTTCCCTAATACCTCCTCTCCATTTCCCTGATGTCTTGATGAAACCTTTCTTCTTGTTCTTTACTGACAGCACCGAGAATTTTAGGGAAATAATCAATATGTGAGTGTCATAAAAACGAATGCTCGGTAAACCGGGTTTTTGTAGGTCATAGAGACTAAAAGCGCTTTTTGTTTTTAATTGCATATTATTACTGAATTGTACTGTACTGTATTATTATTACCTGAACTGTGCGGTACTGTATTTATCTGTCTAAGTTTGCCTTTAAATTTGTTCCACTTTCTGTCAATTCTAATACATATGTTGTACGCATAGAAAATGACTTTACGGTA